TTAACTCTGTCCCAGATTAAACCAGGACAGTCCCCTAAGGCAAACAGCAAGTCTCCACCATCATGTACTTGCCAAGGCCACCAGCAATGTGCACAAGCCGCCTCTCATGGACTGGGCGCTCAATGCCCACCAGTGGCTGGAGACCATCCATTTTTGGCCACACCATGCCCAGATTGCTTCCTGTCACCACGGTCCCTGGTCACAGGCACCCACACCAGACTTGGGCTGCACCCCTGCTTGGGGAGCAAAGAAAAGCATGACAGTGGCAGGACACAACTGAGCATGGATGGAGACAGCATCGCAGAAGCAGGCACAAAAACCCCTCTGCACAAAGTCCTCTGTCAACAACTAGTGCTTTGATAGCTCACAGATCGCAAACCCTGACACCGAGACGCAGCGAGCAGCCTTGTGCTCTCCTCCACCTCCTCCCCAGAGGCACATCTGTCCATGACCCACGGCAGGGATGGCACAGCTTGGTCTGCTGTGGGGACAGCATGCAGCCCTGACCCAGAGCCTCCAGCCAAACCTCTGGGCAGCTCTGCAGGTCAGTTGCCATTTTCCCTGCTGGGGCTCTGACTTTCAGATCAGCGTGTTTCATTGTCCAGAGCAGCCGTGGGTCAGGCAGGCAGAGCTGGCTTCCTGGATACAGGGGCTATTTTAAACCACATGTGCTCGTGCTCACAGTTCTGCTTGCAGAGATCCATCCCACCGCTCCAGACAGCTTGTACGCACACAATAGAGCAAAAAAGGCCAAAAAGACATCCTGTGGGCTGGGGAAGATGAAGTAAGGATGAAGCAGCAGAGCAGAGGCTGGGGAAGGAAGGGAGCACAACAAATCTCCTGCCCCAGAGATTTACGTGCCCTCCAGTGAAGTGTTGTGGGATGGGGCCACATGCATCCCCCTGCACAGAGGGCTGGCCACAGGCACGGTGGCAGTGACCAGCCTGGGTTGGGGGTGAGCCCAGCACCAAACCCACACCTGACATGCAGCTGGGGATGAATCCCACTGTGCGCCTCCAACTTCCAGCTGGAATCTTGTGCATGCATTAACAAAAGCAACATGTGAAGAAAGGTCTCAGTCCCCGAGAAGAGCTTTGCTTGCACAGGGTGCAACCCATGCACCCAGCTTCAAACCACCCTGGACCCAGCCTGACCACCGTGCTGCCATGGAGTGTAAAAGCAAGGCTAATGGCTGGCAGAGCGCACATCAGCAGGGGACAGGGACAACCTCGCTGGAGGCCATCCTGCCAATGGACCAGGCAGAGCCAGGCTCTCTGCTTTAGCTAAGGATGCTCTGGTGCCACATGTGTGACATATAGGGGAAGGGTGTGACACCGCTATACCTCCATCACGTGAGCCCTGACGGGGCAGTTCAGAAATCAACCCACCCTCTCCCCAGGGGATGATGGATATCGATTTGGAGAAGTGCCACCACACTAATTTCACATGTAAAGAGCACAACTTTCCACAAAGCATCCAAGAAAGGAGATGGACTTCTAAGTGCTCCTAAAAATAAATGAAAAACCACAGATGGCCTTTCAGATAAGGCAATCTAGGCTTCAGGAAAGCCAAACAGCCTCTCCATAGTGCTGCTCCCATAATTACCTCCCTCCTGCAGTTTCCTCGCCCAGCCAGATGCTGCTGCCATGGGGCTGACAACTGCCACGACATTTACAGGTGTCCAAGCCCCGAGGGGGCTGGCTTCCACACCACAGAAGTGTGAGGGGGCTGATAAGGGCTATCACAACCTCTGCCCCACCAGTGATTCCAGTTTGCGCTGGTGTTGCTGGGGCAGAGTTCGGGTCAGCTGGTTCCCCTTCCAGCACTGGGTCCGGCCTCGGATGGGGCTTGTGAGCTGCCCACCTTGGGAAAGTCAGGTGAGGGGTTTCAGGGCTGGCTCTGGGAACTAGCAAACCTCTCAGCCCTGGGGAATACTGTCCCGCCATGGCCTTACTGCAAGCAATGGTGAGCAACTCTCAGACCAGAGAAGGAGCTTGGGACCAAAACTTTTTGGAGTAAGCTTCAACTGGGTCACCAGGGATCACTTGTATTACTTTTAGCAGGGTAATTCTATTAATAGCTACTGTTTCTAACAGTTTCAAGCTTCTCCAGAAAGTTAGATGAGTGTCATTATCTCCTTTTGCAGGGGAAAATATTAATTTTAAGAGAGCTGGATCCTCAAAGCCACCTGGGAAAGGACGAGCTCAGCCAGGAAAGGGTCTCCATCCTCATACCCAACCTGGAGCTGCCTGTTCACCCCACCCACCTGTGCTGTCCTGAAGGATACCACCGCTCCCCTCCTTCCCTTGTGCCCCCTTCCAAAGTGGGGGGCCAAATCCTGCCCTCTCCTTGCACAGGAAGGTGCTCTCCTGGACCAGCCTCCAGCCACAAGTGAGGGGCAGGGCAGATTCACCACTGCCTATCTCAAGGGAGCATCCGCAGGAGGAAAGACTTATTGATAAATAATATTCTCCCAAAAATTTCTGAGGCCTCAGTAGCAGCCTCAGGGCACCGAAGGCTCTTTCCCGACATGGCAAATGCAGGGATGCAGCACAGCACTTCTGGCTCTATAGCCTTGCTGGAAAGAAAAGCTAGCCGGGAACCAGCATGAACTGTTAACGCTTTAGCTTAGGGCAAAACAATCCAGAAGCTGAGGGATTTAAGGAGAATTACAGTAATTAGAGCCTTGATCAAATTAGTCAGCCCACTAGCAGCAGGAGGATTACTCCTGGAGGCCAACACTTAATTTTTTTCAATTAAAGGGCTGCCTCACCTGAAAAAAATCCCCTGCTCACATCATGCAGCAGCTCGCTTATGGTCTGCTAAAACACAAGTACAATTCCCACCACTCCTTTTTGGCTTTTATTTCCCTCCACAGTGTTTTTTGTCCCTTGTGGGAATATGATTTGGGTTTCTCTCTCCTTTTTTTTTTTTTTTTTTTTACATTTTTTGTTTCAAGCAGTTCACATATGACCTGCTTTTGCCGTAAAGCACCCTAAACATCCCCAGATCACAGGCTGAGAGGCACCCCTGGAGTCCAAGGATCTATCTTGTTGGCCTATAAACAGACAGATATTCCTGATTATAGCAAGAAAGCAGGGAGAAGAAAGAGTACATGAGAGATTTGGTCCCAACTGGCCACTCCTTTTTTAATATAGCCTCAGTTTCATAATAAGCACCAGCAAAACAACAGCAATGGGAACTAGGCAAAGGGTTGTCCCAAGCCAGAGCAGCTCGCTTGACTCAAGCGTGATATTACCTTTAATTCATGTTGGCTGGCTATCAAAGGGCATCTATGCTTTTTGCTAATGTTCATGCAAGTCTTCTATCACTAATGCAACTGCTCTGTGGGTACAGACCTCGCTCTGTTCAAGTGCCATCCTGGACATCTCTCTTGCTGCAAAGTCTGCTTGCCAGGAGTAAAACTCCTGGGCTGGCTCATCTAACGGGGACACAAAAGCATCCCAGCAGGTCTCTCCAGAAACGTGAGCACTGCTCTGAGCAAGCACTGTCAGCGGGTTACACATGCACGCAGGTGCTGGCAGAAAGCTCTGCTGCCTGTGTCCGACCCATTTCATAGGGCTCAGTTGCTGGATTTTTCTGGACAAGGATACAAATAGGGCCTCCTCACCGACCACAGACTGGCATGTGTTCAAGCTGGGATTTGGATTAATAGCTCAGCCTAGCAGTGCAGCAGCATCAAAAGCAAACAACTAATTTGTCTTCAAGTTGGCTGATTTAATGAGATTATGGCTAAAACCATCCTCTTGCATTGATGCCCTGAGCTCAGCTGCACTCTTAGAAGAATGGCACTGCCCCAGGCCCCAGGCCTGATGAGGATGGTTTGGCCACATGGACCAGGGATGTCCTTCTGTGACATGGTCTTGCCACTACCCTGCTGTGTGTGTACCTCTGGGAGCGAGTTTGCTTCCCAAACGCACCCAGGAGGTGTTCCCCAAGCTCTGCACCCCTGCACCAGCCTCACCTTTATCCCCTCAATCCTGAAGCCCAGCGTGGCAGTTGAGCTGATGGTCTCCCTCCACTGCATGTAACGGGGCTTGGTTACTGCCCGCAGCACATTCTCCTCCTCGGTGGGGGCATCGGGGTCCACCTCAATCATCTTCTGGTACATGTCCTTCCTCAGGCTTGGCTTCTTCCGGGCCTTTATCAGCTCCTCCTCCAAGTATGTCCTGCAAGGAGTGAGGGGGCGACATTAGCAGGGTCATAAGGCTACCACACAAAGTGCCACATACCCACAGACACCCCCCACCCCAGAAATCAGCAATTATGGGGACCACATAAGAAATAACGGAGGAAGCTTCATTGCAGGTGAATTTATCCTGACTTAATTAGCACCCCCATCATCAACATCTGGCATCTTTTCAGTTCATCAAGGAACCACAACCAGTTTGGCGAGAACAAAGGAGGTTATTTCTCACAGATGCCCATGGCATTGCTGCTGCCCCCTCCTTGGTCCTGGGAGCCTGTCCCCCAACACTCAGCAAACCTGAGCAGTGCCTCAGTGGCCCTCACAAAATAAACATGGCTTTCAAGATGTGCCCAGGAAACTGCTCACATGCTCCGGGACCTAGCTGAGTTGAAGGCAGGAGGGAGGCTGCTAAATCCCAGCCCCTGGCATTAGCTGCTGCTCCCTCTGAGGTTTGGCCAACGTGGGTGGCTGCTGACAAAGCTGCTCCGGTGCTTCTCTTGCTCTTTCGCATCCCCTCAGTCTGTGTACCCCCAGGGCTCTGCCTCATCAGCTGCTGAACAGGGTGTTTTCACCCAGGGCTGTTTTGCTGAGGATGATTTTGCCCAGACTGTTTTAAGGGGACTATCTAGCAAAAGCTTCCTGTACAGGATGGAGCGGAGGAAGGGATGCAGCCTTGGCCAGGTGCTTACCATCACCCCCGGGACCACGGGTACAGCCAGGCTGGGGGAATGAGGATGGAAGATGCACAGGAGTGTACAAAGACCTTGGTCTTATACATCCTGCAGAGGAGCAGCACTCCGTGCCAGAGCACACCAGTGGAGAACTTCTGCACTCTGCCATGCAGAAAACCATCATCCACTAAGCAATACTTCCTGCAGCAGTAACAAACTGCTACGTAACTCCTCTCGCAGCACCCAATCCTGCCCCAGCTCGGCCTGGCAAGTGCCCAGGCTTCTCCAAACAACTTGCCAAGCCAGGAGATGTCCCAGCAAAACGACCCTGGAATGACCCTACCTGTAACCTCCTTCCCCCAAATCCAAACTGCTCTTCACCTCCCTTTAGCCATGCCCAGCTCTGCAGAGGGGCTGTGCCCTCTCCCCATCTTGCTTGTGCCAAACTCCTGGCACTGAGTGTGTGGTTCACCTCCAGAACCAAGCAAAACGTACAGGGAGGATGCTAGGCAGACTACGTGGGATGCTGTTCCTGTGTTTCCAACAGGCTTAGCAAGGCAAACTGATATCTTTTCTCAGGGCAGGCATACGATTGATCGCTGAGCAGACACCCTGAGGGCATCAGCCTCTTTGGAAAACACTGCAGTTAAAAGTGATGAAGGGCTTCAGCTGAGATCACCAAACCCATGATTTCTGGGCAGATGGAATAAACTAGGAAAATAAAGCAGCGGCATGTTCGGAAGTGCTGCTCACATGCCTCAGCTAGACTTCCTCCTGATGAGAATGACAGATCATCTGTGTCCGTGGTCTGGTCCCCCTACATTGCTGCAAGCGTGAACCATCACCATAGCTTAAGTCAGACAAAGTTTCATTCAGTGGTGACCAGAGGGGACTGATGTACCCCAAATCTTATTTAACAATGATGCTGTCTGGCATATTTGTCCCCTTTAGTTGTTCTGCAGGTCTTAGCTCCAAAAATCCAGGCGCAGAAATCGTCCAACCTGTGATTTGTGTGCGGGAGGCTTTCCCCCTCCTAGAGACAGCCTCAGGAGCAACTGGGCTGCATGACCAGCAGGTCTTCTTCTGGTGGCTGTCATCGCCAGGTCCAGAGAGGGTCCTGTCTCCTTCCTGCAGCAGCATGGTGCATGCCAGCTGGGGCCACGTGGCTGTGCCGGGGCCCCCTGCCCTTCTCTCCACCCCTCTGGTGGAAATTATTCCTCACCTCTTCCCTGCCGACAGCCCGACACGCCAGTTCGAGTTTCACATCGGGAGTTCAGTAGGGAAAAAAAAAAAAAAGATTCCTCCCTCCCACAGAAACCATCAGCTTTTCCAGCAGTGCAGGCGTCTCCACCGCATCTGAGCGGCACCTTAGCCAGTGAGGGGGGTCTCAGACTGTCCCCCTGCCAGCCTGCAGCCAAGCCAGTGCCCAGCGGTGGCCTGAGGCTGCTCCAAAAACGCAAGCTGCCTGGGGTCACCAGCCTTGGTCATGTTTGCCCTGGGACACCCTTGTCAGCTGTGGCCTCGCTAGCTTGAAAACTGCTGCTGGCCAAGTGGCTGCAGGCTGGGATCCTGGCGTATCTGTAGATGGTCCTTGAGGAGGACGCGGGTAATGTTGCTCATCTATTAGGAAACGTTTCAAGAACTTTGCATGAAAGGCACTAAGCTACTTAGCATACACGTTTTATCCCTCAAGTGAGCGCAGGAGCGAAGGGTGAGCAGAGGGAAAGTCTCTCACTCACTGAAGCTGTGCCATTTCAGCGCCTTTATTTCACCCCTCTAGCACCCTGGGCAGGATCTCCCACACCTTCTGCTCCCGGTCCCTTGGTTGTGTCCTCATGTGGCAGAGAGAGGCAGGTTGCCATTCTCCTAAAAGCTACCGTGCCATTCTGGCATACCCAAACCCAGAGAGCTGTCCCCTCCACTGCCCCAAATCACTTTCCTAGCATGTGGGATGATCAATAAGCAGAGAAGGAATGAGCCTCGTGTGTCCTTCTGTACCCAGGCTTCCCCACAGCCACTTCTGTTTCAGAGAGTTTTACCCAGGAGATGCATTTGCTTTGAGTATCCCATCTTCAAACTCAAACAATGTCCCCAAAGCCACTCACCTGACCCCCATTTTGCAGTCCATAACGCAGGGGGAGTCAAATTCAGCCAGCAGATCTTCCATCTGGTTGTATCGCTCCCCGTCCTTCACGACATCGCCGTGGTAGGCAGGAACGTAGGGCTTCAGGACATCGTTCATCAGGCGGTCGAGGCAGCGCTGCTCCGATTCACAGTGCTTCTTCAGGATCCTGCCATTGGCTGCTGCCTTGAAACTACCTGAGGGTGACAAAGGACAATGTGGCACTTGCTTTGGATGTGGGACGACACCATGCCTTCCCAAAACAAGGACGGCAGCCCAACACCTTGGAAGCATCTCCATTTACACCTGCACCCGAAAAAGTCCCGACAGGCTGGGACTTAGAAGCTCAGGCTGCCAGATTCACTGAAAGCACCCAGCACTGCACCTCCACGTCACCCTCCCTGGGTAAGTCACTCTTCTGGGCTAGAGACATGGGAGCTGAAACCTGTGACGTTCATGCAGCATCAGAAGCAATTCTGTCTAGCAAAGCCCATTAACCGAGATAACGAAAAGCCTTTCCACCACCCTGCGCCTCCCCGTGCTCCGTACCTGCGTGTCCCGCTAGCTGGATCCAAGGGTACTTCTTCTTGAAAGACATCACAAATGGGGACCAGTGCACCATATTCTTGATCTTCCTCCATGATTTGCTCTAAGGGGGGAAAAAAAAAAATCACGGCGTTGAATGCAATGTTTTAAGCTTTTACTGTCCGTAAAGTCACTTCAGGCAGCATGTGGCTGTTTTGGACAGGGGAGGAAGCACCGGAGCCAGCGCAGGATGGAAGCAAGCAGAGAATCTGCTCTTTTCCCATTGCCCTGTGCCAAGCTGGAGCCGCTGGGCCTCGACTCCACATTCAGAAATCACGAGTAACTTCACCGAAGTTCCAGTTGGCTGCTGCTGCTGCATAGGGCCCAGCCATCCCTCATTACCTCCTCTCCGCTCCCCACATCCCTCTGCAGAAGCAGCAGGGACATTAACCCATCCTTGGGTACCGCGTTCAATCACAGCAGACGGAGCAGGGACAGGAGCCCAGGATTTTGACGCAGCCACAAAAAACTGCTCCAGCTCCCGCAGGAACCGAGGGACGCTTGGGGCTCAGCGCCCGGCTTTTGTTCCCCGCTGAAAGGCAGCTGCTTTGTCCATCAAGCTGGCAAATCCGCGTGCTTTGGCCCATCCCTAACTACATTTTGGAGAACAATTCCCTTTTGACATGTTGGGTTTCTCGCCAGATAGACTGAACAAAACTATTTACATGACTGTAACGAGGGCTGCGTCGGACATATGAAAGACTCCTTCGAAGGCTCTTTCCTGCGAGAGTTTTTTCCCTGGATTGTTCTGGGGGAACATGCCGCCAGTAAAAGGCAGGGGGACGACTCTTATCTCAGCCCCAGAAGGACACAGCACAAACAAATCAAGCGAACAATACACAACGGTGACAATGGAAAAATGCTTTCTTGAAGGAGCTGGGACAAACAGATGGCGTAGTCCAGGCTGCTCCGAGCTACTAGGTTCAGCCGGAAGCCCACAGATAAATTATCCTCATTTGCTCCACTCTGAAGGCATAGGAGGGAGCCTTCCAGAAAGCCCAAGTAATCTCTTCCTCGTGTTCGGAGAACCAGCCCCTGTTCCAGTAACGCTTCGCAGACAAGGCAGGGAAGAGCCAGAAGCTCCGGCTTGCAGTTTGGATGCTTGTCGGGGGTGAACTCATGGCCCAGGAATCCGCGCTGGGAACTGCTGACATGTTTAAATGGCGAGGAAAAAGCCAGACAAAGATGTTAGTGTCTAAAGTGTGGAAATTCCATCGGGTTACCCCAGCCCTACCGGGGAGCGGCGACGCACTGCGTGAGGATGCACGGGCTGCCCTCACGGTGGGGACCAGGGGGTGGGAGAGAAGAAGAAAAAAGGTCCTTCCCCACCTCCCAGCCTGCAAGGAACAGGGTGGCCCTTCCCTGGATGCCTGCCCGTAGCCGGGAGCGTCCCGGCATGCCGTGGCACGGGTACAGCAGCACAGGAGTTTGGCAAGCAGCTGTCCAAGCACGGGGTGACACCGGGCATCCCCTTCGCCCAGGCTCCCCTGCGCCGCAGGTTTGCTCTGCCCGCCTGGTTTGCTTGCTTTGGCAGTGGGGTCGGGCAGTTCCCTACCTGACATGAGGATGAATGTTTTTATTTCCAAATGGAGTGCCAGAACTTGTGCGCTTTAGCTGTTCTTTGTTCTCCTTTTGGCACAGAGCAAGAGGGAAGCGGGGCAGGGGGAGGGAGGGTGTCCCCTCCTTTTGTTTTTAAAATAGTAACAGCAAGTCCTGGCTGATGTCAGGAAAAAAAAGGGGGAAGAAAAAGTCTCCAAGGGAGTTTGGACTCCAGACAAGCATGACCCACCTCCTCTGAAACAAGGCAATGGAGTCCTCCCCCCACTGCACAGCCTCGAAAGTCGCTCAGTCCCAGGAAACATGCCAAGGCAACGCACCTTCCCAAGCCAAGATTTTGTTTTTCGGTGTTTAGAGCTTTATAACTAAAACCTTGAGGTACTTCAAAGCGCAGGCAGAATGAAGGCAAGTGGCCTCCGAAGCAGGGCAAGCCAGCCTGGCTTCCCCCTGCCAGGGCTTTCCCAGGAGCCACACGCTCCGCTCCGGCACTGCTCCCAGCACACGGTAACGGTCCCTGAGTCCCCCGGGGAGAAAAAAACACCACAAAAACCTATCTGCTGAGCTGAATAAGACAGAAAGCTGCACGAGGAACAGGTAGCATGTCCCCTCCCTTTACACTGTCAAATTCTGCTTCATGCAGCCCCTTCCCCAGCACCTTGGCAGGGGCACTTCGTGGTGGCACTTTCAGGAGAGAGAAGAGACCGTCCCCTCTGCAATTCCTTCAGGAGTCATCAGATTTTTGTTTTACACCTGACCCCCTCCCAGTGTTGTGAGGGAAAGTTTGCTTCATCAAAAGGAAGCTCTCCCGTGTCCTCAGCCCCCTGTCCATCACACGTTACCGCCTGGCACAGTTGGTTTTGCAGAGCAGCCTACCAGCACCGATTTCTCGGGGGGCATAGGGGTGTACATATCCATACAAAATGCCTGGTGGCTCTGTTGTGGGACTGCTCAAAAGGCGGTGAGCTTTGCAAGGAGCAACTCCCCTAGTAAACCAGCAGCTGCACGACTCCATCCGTCCCCTCTCCAGGGCTGCTGACCCACTGCAGAGGAGAGACAGAGACTGGACCATGGGGGAGCAACACTGGGAAATGCCCCCAGCAATCCTGCCGCCCCCTTTGCCTGAAGAAAACAAAATTCTGCCCAGGTAAGGAGTCGCTCCAAAAAGAGGTCATCCTTCATACTTCCTCTACAGCTTCAAGAGAGAAGTTATGTGGCTGTGACCCATCGGCAGGATCCTTCGCAGCCACTGCGGATGGCTGAGAGCTTCCAGCAAGAGCTCTGTGTTTATTCAGCACAGGTCCAGGAGCACAGGCACAGCTGTACGTACGTGGAGGAGTCACCTGCAATACCTCAGACTCAGACCAAAGAATTTTCACCATACTGGACAAAACAGCTTCGCAAGCGGCATTACCAAGGGATGCTGGTGAAGGGCAGATATGTGCTCTTCTCGTGTGCCTGCAAGGAAGTGAGCATGCAGGCGGGCATGCCGAAAGCTGAGCACACTTCTAGCTCTTTTGCATGATGAAAGCCTGCGCCTGCCTGTGGCACCCTGCTCTCCCCAAATCCCGCTCTGCGGTTGCTTTTCCTCCCAGAAAACTCACGAAGCTGCGTTGCCTGACTGTGCTCTTGCACACACAGCAATGGCTTGCAGCCCGTATAAGCAGGGAACATGCGCGAGGTCTCTGATGGAGTTCGGCACTTTTTATTTAAAACCTGTTTCAGCATCAGCAAATGCCGACTGATTAGCTGTTAGGTAACAAATTATTTAGTGACTCTGGAAATATACTTACTGAGAAGCGGTGCCATTTTCCCTAATCGTCTGCCACATGGAAATGAAGATGAGCCACTATCAGAACCAACTCTAAAAATGAACTCTCGAGGGTTCCTGCAGTACTCTAGATTGCTTTCACTGGCTCAGAGCGCAGTGTCCCGAGCTGGGGGTGGGATGCGGGCCAGAGGAGTTAAGCCCTCCCAGCAAGCCCCCACAATTGGTCAGTGGGAGAGGAGTGCTGGGAAAACAATTTTATCTGCTGTGTGTTTAACTTGACTTATCTGAAGCTTAAAGCAAACTCAAGGCTTTCCCCATCTGTCAATAGAGCTTCGTATGGAAAGAACAACATGGGAGAATTTAGTGCCAAGCCAGAAGGTCAGAGGATATATTGTGTTTAATTAGATTAAACAAAAAGTGACTGATGAGCTCAGTGCTCGCTGTACATTTTTCCTATAGCGTATGGCATTCCTTTAATGTCTGCTTGAAGGAGACGTGCCTTTCTGGGACTGCCTGTCGCCTCCCTTTCCCAGCAGGGATGCTGGTGGAATTTAACTGGTGTTACTCCCTGCGCACAGAGCCAGCAGGGAGCTCTTCTCTTTCCATGCGTTGAGCCAGGGAGATAGGCAGTAACCAATTTAATTTGCTGAAATTATGGTTTCCTATGGTTTTACAGGACCAAACATTCCTGGAAATAGCAGGAGCTGGACTGGTATTTCAGTGGCTTTTATTAAGTAGAGCCACTGTTAGAGGCAGGATTATGCAGCTGGGGCAGGTGATGGGGAGGACTGGGAGCAGCATTAATTTAATGTTTTTTCCCATTTCTGGAAAGAACTTCAGCCCCTTTCTCCCGGGAAGATCCCAAAATAGCCTAGGATCAGAAGAGATGGAGAAAAACTGTGAGGAAAGGCTGGTGTCACCAATACCCACCACTCTCTCTGGCCTCACCGGAGCTGCTGCAGCCCAGGACATCACAGGGGTGACACCCTGTCTTTCCATTCGCTTTGGAGAAAGCTCCGCTCCTGCGGTACACCAACACGCAGCCACCCCGGTGCTCCTTGCAGAACTGAAACCCCCGGGTGCCAGGCAGCCCGTGGGAAGGGGCTTTCGGCACAGCTCAGAAGGGCTCTGGGATGTTTCATTCCCAAGTAGGAGGGTCAACGAATTGTGAATCATGTCCAGAGCCTTGCTGGTTTAAAAACAACATGGTGAGCAGCTGAGAAGGGCAGATTTTGTGCCAGAGAGCCCTCTTCTTTAATAACAAAATAAGCGGGGCGAGCATTTGCCCACAGGGTTCACTTCGTGTCAGCTGCTCCGCGGCCGTGCACACGCAGCCAAGGAAAAAGAGGCCATGTAGTTTTCCATGTTTAAAAGAATGAACGTGTTTTTCTTTTGGTCTTTTAAAAAGTAGTTAAGGTTTCCCTAGTGATGATTGTTTCCCTTGACTGGGAAAAACCTTGTCACTCCAGGCGTGGTGAGGAGGAGGCCAGCTTTGTCCATTGTGCCGGGCGCTGGGCGCGGAGGGCAGCGGGGCAGAGCTGGCAGGTACTGCGGGTGGGATGCCTCCTCCTGGCGCGTCCCAGCATGTGGGCGACCAAAAATGCAGGATTTCGGCTGAAAACCCTCCCGTGACGTGCTCTGGAACGCAATCGCGGTGCGGAGCTGGGGTTATGCTCTGCTCAGCTTTGCCATCTCGCCCCAACCACGGCGGCTGCTGAGCAAAGATAAAGAGAGGCCCA